CTTAATAACCTTTATTAACTTTCTAATTGACTAATTTTGTGCTTGTCAGTTTGTTTCTAAAATTATTGCGTAATTAAAATAAAAATAAAAAATGAAACTTTTATATAACTTTTGATTTGTATTTTAATAATAATAATAATAATAATAAAACAATCAAATACAGAATTTCGATAAAACAGTAAAACAAATTATCAAATATACAGAGCAAAAGAAATATTTTTTTTTCCCAAAACGATATCAGATGCAAAGAAATGTTGTAGAACTGCAGCTGGCTTTGGATATTTTAAATTGTGTGGAAATAAACAACAAGAATTTAGAGTACGTTGTGACATTTCTCGCGCAATTTGTCCTGAAGCACAATTTTAGCTGCGTATATATTGCACACAAGTAAGCGGCATTTTTTCCAATTGCTTATGTCAACCGAGAACGTACATAGGGTTTCTCTCTGGAAAAACTGGCTTATGTGTGCCATCTCTCTTTCTCCTCCCTCTCTCTCTCTCTCTCTCTCTCTGTGTATGTGCGAAACACTGCTAGATTAAATAGTGCCTTTTTTTTAATTAAAAATTATTCTATTTTTTCCATATATAATATTATTTCTCTCGTGTACTTTATAATAGTTTTTTATGTTCTTTTTTGTGTTCTTTTATATATATATGTAGTTGTAAACAAAGAAAACACTCCACATGTTAATAAATCTACTTTTTACCAGATTTCTTAAATTCGCATAATGTTCTCATATTTGCGCAGAAATGCTTCTTACACCGAAACGTGACGACATTTGAATATATAACGTTTATTCTTTCTTAACACGCGCGCTGCGCGTCAGATTTGCAGAGGAAATGAAATGTCAAATTTCGGTATTTTCTTTTCCGCGCATAAGCGTAGAATAATGCATGAAGTTTGGTGGAATAGAGGGGTGCGGGGTAGCAACAACGACGCCAAATGTCGAGAACAAAATTTCAACATTGCGTTTCTTCACCAGGGATTAATATCGCTTTGCATATTTACATATTCAAGTATCATTTCTTGTCGGAACAGTGAAAAGAACATTTACGCTAGATGCACTTATTATACCGACGTTAATGATGGATGTCATAATTGTGCGTATAAGTTGATTTGTACCTGAAAAAAATATGCAATATTTATATGATATGTAATTATTGTATATAAATCATATAATTTAAAATATTATTTGTTAACATATATATATATATACATAAATATTATACTTATTTACTAAATAGATAATGGAGTTTAATATCATAATCGTCAAAAAAATTGACTATCGTAAGACCACAAAAGAGAATAAAATAGAAATATGAAAAGATAATAGCTTTTCTTAAAGCGATTTAAAGAAATTGGTGAACGACAAATGACAAAGCGATATTATTTTCCGACACGTACGTGAGCCGATTGAGAAAAAGTTAAAACGACATATAGCGTGTGGCCATTTACGACCATACGCTATCGATGACTTCACTTCTCGTTCCTCGAAAATTTTTTTTCATCGAAGCTATTTTTCCTCGACTCGAAATAAATCACGGCCGATATCTGGCGAATAAGGCGGATGAGACAGCAATTCGTAGTCTATCTCATAAATTTTGGCTATTACAACAATTGAAGTGTAACCTGTCATTGTCTCAAATCACTGAGATCGTCTGTTTGGCGATCTGTGACACAAACACTACGTGCAATAAAATGAGTTAGCGTTTGACATGTGTGTGTGTGTTTTTTTTTTTTTTTTTTTTTTTTAAGAAACTTATCAACAACACAAGTGTAATACTACTACTGTCCGTTATCTATATATCGTTTTAAATATTTATCGCCTCTCATAAAATTCGCGCTGCCGTGGCATACCGTTTTCCTTTCCTCAAATTCACGGAAGAGCAGGATCGGGAATAGCATTTGCGCACATTTCTAGAATGTCGATATCGAAAAGACAGTCTAAAATGTCGCCGGCCTCGAAACGACGTTTAAGATCTGACGGCTCGCAGTGTACAATATATATACATACATCTTCTGATAAAATTTAGTCATCCTCTTTCAACTTCTACACTTCCGCCGTATCTATATTGCTGAAAGACACAGAACGGGATGCGAATAGTAGAGAAAGAGAAGAACAAAGAGAGAGAAAGAGAGAGAGAGAGAGAGAGACAGAGAGAGATCGCGCGAGATATGCGAATCGAGAGAAACGACAAGCAATGAAGAAAAGTGTGCTGATGAAAGATAGAAAAGAGAAAGAAAAAATACGAGATAAATTACAGAATACGCGCTATTTTCCTCTGGATTGTTTTCCGTTTCGCCATTTTCTTTCTCGAGATATAGCAATATTACATTATATACATGTGCATATTTCGTATACTCCTTGCTGTATACTTCTGCTGGTTTTGTTATTGACTTCAGCAATGTCAGGATCAATACATAATTTAATATGTTTCAGAAAATAGATATACAATATTTTTCTTCACAACTTTTGTGGAATTTTATAGAATTGTACAAATACGTTACGGCGAAAGATTGTTTCTTGAAAAAGTTCGCCTTTAATTTCTCAATAATTTACTTTATGCGTTTCGGAAATACTCTAGAAATAAAAACCAAATTTCACATACGCGTGTACTTAGTTGATACTAAAAATTTTTAGTTTTCGCAAAATTGGATTTTTTATCCGATTGTTTATTGCAATCGTTTTCATTTTCTCGTTCTTTTTCGAATATTTTACTAAAGTTTCTACATCTTGCATAAAAACGAGAAAAATAATTTTCAAAAAACTTTGATCTGATTATTAATACTTTGTTTTAAAAAAACATGACTTTTGACATAACACTTCTCGCCGGAATATTAATTATCCGGTATCTATATTGTTTTAGTTTGTGAAAGAAAACATATAAGATTACATGTTATTTTATTTTATGTCGCTTACATATACGCGAACCGGTCGTTTCACTTTTAAAACAATGATCTTCAATATGTGAAAAAAAAACTCGTATAAATTTTGTTTGAAAACTACATTTTCTACTAAGATATACGAGATGTATATTTTTCTTACTGTTGCGGGATAATCGTCGTTTTGAATATTTCGCATAACTCATCTCGGAGCATGCGAGACAAAGATGGCATCTCTGTGGACGTCTAACGTCCACATCTTTTATAAAATAAACATATTGACGTATGTTGGAGAGAAAAGTAAAAAACTTAAGGTTGTGCGCGCAAGTAGCGCGCAATTCAGAATTAAGAATATGAACGAATTACTACAAACCGTTGACACGTCAACTCGAGTATTCGAGAGTTCATTGTGTTTAATACATTAAACGAAAGCGTTTATTGCCGCGGTCGCCTGCAATAGCCGCTTCAATGGAATTCAATTTTCACGGGCAAATGAATAGCCGTCGATAAAGAATATAGCTATATAGCGACGAGAGATCCGCCATTAGACGAATGAAGGAAAGAGACACACACGAACGGACAGGAGATCTCTCCTAGTTTCAATCCTTCCGCCTCCTTCTTCCACATCGCATTTCCCCTCAGGTGCATCCCTATACACACTACATGCCGACACAACAGAGCGGCAACTTCGGGAATTTAGATAGCGGATACCGAATGATATTATACGCTATATATATTGTGTATGTATATATACTATATCCCGCGAACTTTACAGCCAGTCGAGAATGCGATACTCTGTAGAAATTTACAGTGTGAAAGATATCGCCGTGCGATATGTACCGCCGGTGACGCTTGCTCCAACCCTCTGGGCTCCGTGCGGAATAAGAGGAATCGGGGCGAAGATGGAAGGTTCCCCGTAGGATAAGGAGATGATTTCTGTCCTTAAGAGGGTCTGCCGCGCTGAAACGTTTCGAGGCCTATTCCCTTTCTTCACCCCTTCTCTCTCTCTCTCTCTTTCTCTCCCCCTCTTTCTTTATGTTTCTCACACTCTCATAAAGAAAGACACTATAATGTCTGTTCATCTGTCAATCCGATCCTCCCTCCTTGTGTACCTTCGATCTTTTGCCTACCGGAGATAAAAAACGCCTCCGTTTCAAGCGATTCGTGAATGGATGAGTGAAGACAATCGTGAGCTTTTGTTTAATTCTGAGATTGCGCCACGAGGCATTTAATTCGCCTCGAACGGTTGGCGTGCGCAGATGGGACTCCGCGAGAGTTTTTCCTTTTGCGTTTCATTAAAAAGGAGACACCCAATAGCGCGGATGGCTTCCTTGCATAAATTTATCCTCTCTCTCTCTCTCTTAGAAAGTTTGATCTCGCGGTTATAATCACCGTGCGATCATAAAAAAAATACTGAAGCTTGTTTGTTTCACTTTAGGTAAAGCGTTTGCGAAAACAGAAATGTTTAACGGCGCGTACATTATTGCAATCACAGTATTGACGAAATATAACGAACAGTTGTAATTTAAGAACTATTTCCGTAGACACAAATTTTTGCTTTTTAACCAACGGAACACATTTTGCAGTTATCAATTTGTATCAATCTAAATTTAAAAAACAAAGAGATATTTTTATTAAAAGTAATGTAATTATACCCATAATGAAGAAACTTGTGAAAATTGTTAAAAAAATAGTGCAACCACTTATAGCATAGTTTTAAGAGAAATATAATAATCCTAAACCTAGAGGGAGAAGGGATTGTTACAAGATTATCATGAAATTTATTGCGCGCCAGTATTTTTTTTTTCTTGTTGCAAATAATCGATTAATCGGCACTCGAATAACGAAAATTTAGTTTGGTAAAAAATTTCGCTCGTACCTTCATAAAAATTTAAGCCAAAAAGTTGAGGGACGCATAGTTTAAATTTGTGCATGTATGCGTCGCACACGCGGTATCGATTTTAGGTCACGTTTTACAAGCGGAAAATTTCTGTTCGCCAATTTTCCGGGGCAGAATTCGAAAACAAAGTTTTGTCCCGGTTGTACGTTTTCTCGCGAAAGCGAACCCCCTGCTCGTCGCAGAAAGAGAGTGACCCCCAACTTTACCTCCATTACAGATATCCTGGAGGAAGGATTCAAGTGATACGAGTCTAAGCCGGGAGATCCTGGAAACTGTGTGACCGGCCAAAGGCCCGGCTGAAAACAGTACTTCTCTTCTTACTCGCGAAGAGGATCAAGAAGTCTTATCGTACTCGCTACCCAGTCAGAGAGAAAAAGAATTTTTCGAAGAAGACACGGGAAAACGGAAGGAGAAAAGCGGAAGGAGAGAGAAAAAACGGGAACACAAGACGGGAGGAGCAGAAAGGAACTTAAAAAGTGTAGTAGTCAGAAAGATAAGTTAACCTGGCAATGTCGGACGCGGACGAAAAGATGAAATCCCGAAAGAGACGTTCGAAGATCTCGTGATCGGTGTCAGTGGCCGAGGAGATAAGGTCGATCACGCGTCAGATCGACCGTGATGGAGGCGCGAACGAACGGCTCGTTCGTCAAGTCGATCCTCCGAAACCTCTCCTTGACTCGTGAGCGTCAGCACACGGACGAGCCACCCGGGGGAGCGGTAACCGGCGCCATCGATGTCGTCTCCACGACATCCGTGCAGGAAGAGAAGATGGTGGACTTTTTGGGCGACGCTTTCGCGAGAAACGACAGCGACGTTGTCGATTACGGCGAGTCGGGCTGGTTCAACGATTCGACGACCGCCGCGATCTCGACCTTGTCGGTCTCATCGTCTTCCTTAGCAGAATTCTCGTCGTCCTATTCCACTCCGAGTGTGGACAATTACACCGGCAGCGATCTCTTTGTCTTTAATGACCTGACCGACTATATCAATCGGCTCAACTATAGCGTCTTTGTGAACCTAACGGCCTACTATGACGGCGGGTTGAACCTTAGTAGCGTCAATTGCACGTCGATAATTGCCGAGGGTGCTGGTGGTACCGTCAGATCGGCCGAATGTGCCACCGTCGACGACAAGTCGAACGTGAACAGCTGGTGGGCCCTGATACTCGTGATTGTGCCGTGTTTGACGCTCTTTGGTAACGTGCTCGTCATCTTGGCGGTTATAAAGGAGCGGACGCTGCAGACTGTCACCAACTACTTTATCGTCAGCTTAGCGGTCGCCGATTTGCTCGTCGCGGTGCTCGTTATGCCGTTCGCAGTCTACGTACTGGTGAGTCGAACACTGTGTTTCCTCACACGCTTTGCTATTAATCTTAAGGAGTAGATTATTAACTAATGTTGCACGAACACAATCGTATCACGAACACACATCTCTCTCTCTCTCTTTCTCTCTTCCTCTCTCTCTCCCTCTTTCTTCTCAACATATTTTTCTCAAAAGAATAACTTATAATTACGTTGAAGAGTTACATCGCTAATTACTGCGCTCTACACAGCTAGAAAATATTGCTTTTGTTGATTATCGCGCTCTACTTCCGCGAACACGAAGCAGAGACGTATAATGCACGTACATAATGCATTTAACGTTTATCTGGTGCATGTATCGCAAAAATGCTTCATAATTAATTATAATAAGACGTTCGGAAAAGGTGGTGGTTTGATATCAGCTTCTTGTAATTCGAGAAGAGACGCTCTGTTGTTTGGACACGCTTTGTAGAAATGATATTTCTAATTATATAGGCTTTTGTATAATTTGTAAATGAGCTGAAAACTCTCCACGCCGTGTGGGTGGAGTTGTGTATCGATCGCGAGTTTAGCTGCTAATTAAACGCTATCGCTAGCACGGCGCGTTTGCATGCACTCAATTATCGCTTTCACCTTCAAAGCGCGCGAAGAAAATTGAGATTAAAAAAAAAAATTGAGAAGTATTCAGTCTCGAATGCTTTGATATTGTGTTAGCGCGCGTTTAACAACAAATTATTTAAAAAGTTGCTCTTGATTGGAAAGAAAACTAAAACGTTTTTTTTTTTTTCAAAACTCGTAGTAAACTCGACATTTTTTTTTTTCGAGAACGTAGAAAGCCAATTCAATGCGAAAATATGACGTCGAGTTTTTTGTGTTGCCTTGCGGTGATATTTGAATATTGTGTCATCGAGAATGCGCAAGAGCGATTGTCTGGCAATGGGAAATGCTTTGAGATTTTCAAAGGGAACAGCACACAGAAATGTTCGCGCAGAGCGAGCATCAAACAAAGCTTCTGTTAAGACAGCTCGCTCGAACACGACAGTAGGTTTCAGTACAAGCAGGTGAATCAAATGAAAACGGAATTAAGTTAATTAAAGCTATTCCGTTGTCCATCAGCCACGTCAGCTGACGCATTTGTTTTCAAATCAAACCTATCGCAATGTCGCAACACCATGGAAATATTGACATTGCGATCACACAACACAATCTTGTAAACATCGTAAATCGACTTATCTATGTAAACAAATTTATCGAAATACTATTTAATATGTTTGCACGTGTGTAAAGTTTGAAAATTTCGCGCTTATCTACGTAAACAAATTTATCGAAATACTAATTTAATATGTTTGTATGTGTGCGCAGTTTGAAAATTTGTATATTTCTTTTTAACATTAACATTTACAGTTATAAATAAACATGAGATAAACCTCGTTTTGCATTACCGCTCGCAAATTGCTGTTTGATTTTTGTGAGCTGTAAAATTTGTCATACACCAATAAGAAAATTTCGAAACGTGTGCGCCTAATCGCGACGAAAAACGATGTGTATGATATGAGATCGAAGATATTTTGAAAACCGTAGACCGCACGGTAAAATGAAAATTTCAGTTATGTGTCATGAATCGAGACGTTCGCCAGATGTATCAATGTCGCATGAAGATAACGCGCTACGCGACAAAAACGAAGGAAGCTATTTATAATGATCGAGAGACGTCGAAGACAAGAACGATATTAATGACGAGCAGCCATATTGAACGTTATACCTCACCCAAAAGACCTTAGTTGGTTTAATCGCCAATTAAATACGCGCTTTACACCGCGCGCCGGAATAGCAGTAATTATGAAGATGATCTCGAAGGTAAAGAGGATAAAGAGAACTATTCAACCCCTATACGCTACGTTTCACGAAGCTGCTTTCTCTCTCAGGAATCGAAAGCAATTTTTCACTGATTTTGTCATTACGTTGCACGCTGCGGAAAATGTGTCAATATTTTCTTTTTCGATATCTCTTTACGCTTTTTAATATAAAACAATAAGCAGATTTGACGAAGCGGAAGAAGGCGAAGTGAAGCGCGGATAAAAGTTAATTAATATTTTTTAAGAAAGAAGCGCCGCTTATACGACAAATATACAGCTTGCAAAAGTAAACATCCAAAAGATCAAACGGAGAAAACACTCGGTGATTACAAAATCGATTTGGAAAGTACGAAAAAATTAGGTCAAATCTTTTCCAGATTGAGTAATAATTACGCTTTCAGGGCTGCACCTCAATTTTACGTTCAAAAACATTCGTTCGATATTGCGCCGGACTTTTGTTTCTATCGTTAGCGAGTCGTTTGCTTACCCCGACACGTTTCACATAGATTACATTCCAACGTCGACACGTAATCTTATTTTAAAGTTGTCAGCAGTACCAAGAGGAAAGGAAAGAAAGAAAAAGAGAGAGAAAGAGAGCGAGAAAGAGAGAGTGAAAGATAGAGAGAGAGAGAGAGAGAGAGAGAGAGAGTGAGAGAGAAAGCCTGGCGACACGTATCGTTCCCAATGTGCATCTTTACGAATGTGACAGAAATACAACGTGAAAGAGAAGCGAGTGTTTCTGGCAAACGGAAAAGCCGGACGCAAAACCGCAATTTTCTAGAAATAGAAACCCAACACGGTCTCGTAAACCGTCGCTCGAAACCTAAACTGGTTCACGACCTCAGTTTCAGCGGTGTATGCGCACGAATCGAACAAAAGTGCGATCGGTCAATTAAGGTTTCGTCCGTAATTCCGCGTGCGAGCGCGCCCGTCAATGCAGTATTTGTGCGCGTCCGAATACGTCCCATTTCCCGCGACACGCAACTTCATCGAGATTGTGCGGAGTGGCGGAATTGCCACGGCGAAGACAAATGGCGGAAAAAAAAAAAAAAAATACAAAGTGAAATTTGTTTTACCGTCGCTTTGCAAAATACGCGAATAGATTGCGTAAGCCATAATCGCAGCTAAGGAAGACTTTTTTTTTTTCGACAATTTTATCTCAAACTTTGAATAAATTTTTCACATTTAACATTTTTGAATATATGTTTATCTCTTAAATGTATGCATTGGAATAGTCTCAGACGACACTTCAAACGTTAGAATAAGATTTTGTCTCTTGTCTGAGAGATGAAGCTTCGATTGTGGAACTACGAAAACGCTTGTAAAATAAACAAGCGCCGCGTTATCTGAACAAGTTTTCGATTATGATCGATGAATTCTCTCAATTGTAAAGCAGAAACGCATACGTCGTATAACCGTATACCGATTTTCCATTAATTTTGCAACAGACGGAGATCAGTGTCCCATTTTAATTGCATCTTAAATAATCCTATCTCTGCCGCTCTCGTATCCTTGACATCCCGCCGAGCCAGCTGACGACCAGCAGCGCTCCAGATTACATCGGTACGATTAAATCGAGGCGCATCTTCGCATCTAAGTGCAAACACGTTGGAACGTGCCGAGATCGTCCCACGGCCGCTTAAACGGTCGTTCCGAAGTTTCGCATTAAACGATTTACTTGTGCGGGCGGGGCACGTATGTATGCGCTGTATAAAAGCGTCGTCGTTGGACCGGGGCACTTTACGCTCTTTACCGTGTGCTCGGGATGGCAGCATCATCTACCCTTTAACAACGAGTGAAAAATGGCTGCTCTTTTCGCGCGCTTATATACCACGAATTCCTTCAACTACGCTCTCTCGCTCGGAGAAATTCCGCGAGCTTCTCTCGTTGCTAACAACAAGTCGAAAGTTGCACAAGCAACCTTACTTGAACAATCTTGTCATACTTCTTCGTAAAAGGAACGCGCGTCGAAAGATAGATCGTAAAAAAATTGTATATAATACATACGAACACACATTATTGGAAAATAATAAAAAAGCAAGAAGGACTTCGAAGTGCACGTATTTTTTTTTTAATCGTAAAAATGTGACGTTTTCATTATATTTTATTAAAACTTACTTCATTTTAGTCAAAATATATATTGCTTAGAAGATGTGGGTCTTAAAAAGAAAGTATTCTTTAAAAAAAATGTCTTTTCTTAAAAACTGAATAAAAATAATATTTGTAATTTTAATTGTAGTTTTTGTATTAGATGTATAGTTTTTCTATTTGCTACGTTCCATAGTTTTACGTGAATAAATTCTCTCGGAAGCGCATTCCAATAAACCGCGAGCTCTTGATTTATTTTTTTCACTTGCAGTTAAGACTCGCTACGTTTTGCCGTTTTCTCTAAAAACCTCATAAAACAAACAAACTCTCACAAGTATACGTAAAACGCATCATGTTTTTGTTAAGCCCGCGGTCTTAATAGCCCTTCCGTCGGTTTTTCCTCGCGCTATCTTCCGAGTCACATTATTTTTTGTTCACTATCGTCGTTCGTAATGACGCGAGCCTTCATTTTTTTTTTTTTTAAACACAAAGTGAAAAATAGAAATGCTCGCTTCGCGCGAGTTTACGTCTCGAATTCCGTGTTTTGCGATTTCCGACCGGTGGAAATTCGCGTCCCCGCCATTATTACGAAGCAGAAAGAACAGGCAAGCAAACGTTATCATGTCTCATCTTATGTTTGTTTCACGTTTGCGCACGCCTGATCCGATGTTATAGCGTCACGTTGCCGTTTTTTTACAACTTTCCAGATGTTCGCAGTGACTCTCGTTAGCTTGCGGAGCTAGCAAATTACACGGTTATACACTGTGCGATGTAAAGAAGTTCGTGCGAGAGAGGAAATAGGGGTCTGCTACAATATTCTACTTGCACACCGTGAAATATTGTATGAAAGAGCATATGCAAATGCACTTGGCACCGTCGTCGACGCATTTACGTATTTTGTAAAATATTATAATGGTCCAAATTGCGGTTCAAATATAGCTTAAGCTCTTTAACGCACGTGAACCTGGTGTACTAAAAAAGAAAAAAACTAGTTTAATTTTTTTAATTTAAAAAATTTTTTGGAGATATATTGCAGAATGGGCAATTGATAAGTATTCAAAACGCACAGATAGCGACAACGTTA